TTCTGCACTAATTGCTAAGAAGCTAATAGCTTCCATGCTAATTTACTTTTATGCTTAATTAGGAACTTCTTTTTCACTCAAAGCTCAGCTTTCATCTGCACTCAGAAGTGAGATGACAGGAAAGATGATGGAACTATTACATTCCTTTGGTCAGTGTGCCGAAAGCTAAGTAACAGCTGTCCCTCACTCAACAGTTCATTTAACCACAATGTGAAACGAATCTGGGGAGAGTGGAAATGGTTCTTGAAGATTTTTTTATGCCTAGCACTTCCATCCAAGATGTGAGCTCTCACTGTAAGAATCACCCACGATCATTACCGCAAGACACCTTACTGAAAAACAGACTGAATGCTTTTGATATCTTCAACATCATAAGAACAAATCAACCAAGAAAACTTTAAGCCATTCCAGAGCTCTCAACCTTTTATCATACATTGCAAAGAAGAGAAACAATCTGACTTTAAAAACGATGTCCTTCTAAAAAAACCCTTCCACATCTCTTTCAATAAAATTAAAAGGGGCTGAAAGCCCTGATGTCATTGTCTGTGCACTCATCTCACTGCTATCACCAGGAAGCAGCTTATCCCCCTGGAGAAAGCCCCTCACCCACACCACATCCATTTGCTGGCTTGCTCCTGCAGCCAGGTGGAGATGTGGGCTGGAGTGCATCAGTTGAGAAGCTCTGCTAAAGTAATTCCTTCAGTTAGTGCCATGATGTGCCCCATGTTCTCAGAAACCAGCTGAGTACCTATGAGTAACAGACTCCCAGCGCTGTTTCAGAGACTATTGCTTCAGTTTTTCCTCCCTGGGAAGGGAAAAGAAAAATTCCTGCTGTTCTCAGCAGCCAGGTACTCAGCTGCAGTAACTCTGGTGCTGCCTGAGATGCGCTGGAAGGGTCGTTCATCGGCCTCACTCTATGCTCACCTGTAGCACAGGTGTCAGCTGGGAGTTCACACATCACTGTAACTGGTCATTGCAAAGCAGTGATTTCTTTTTCAAGAAGTTATCAGAGCCAAACCTTCTCAAAAGCTCTTCCTCTCTTTACAAAACTGCCGCTTTTCTGAAGGGAGAAAAATGAATGTGCCTTTAAGTATCTCAGAAAACCACCCACAAAACACTCCCCAAATGGAAGGAAAGCTGCTGCTCGGGACAAACATCACTCTGCTATCGGGAAAGCTGCCAGTGGGTGCTTTTGCTGCCCAGCAACGTGGGATCCATTCAGCATGGCTGGGGAGGCAGGTGGGGCTCATGGACAGCGGCCCATGGGGAATGCTCTTTATTTGAGCTTTGCAAGCATTTCAGTGAGGAAGACCACAAAAGAACACAAAAGCCAGGCAACAACATGCTCTCCCCACAATTTTGAGAATAAAGATGGTACTAATTGCATCAAGGGGGTGAGAAAGCTGAGATTTGGGCTAGGACCCCAGAGCAAACTCAGGGATGCACTAGGCTGGGGCTTTTCAGTTAGAGAAACATGGGCTTCACCTGTGTCTAGCTCCTCCAGGCTGGCTCAGAAACAGTGGCATGGTCACCACCACCTATTAGCTACCTATTAAGAAAAAAGGGAAACACCCATAATGCATTGTTGTTATTTTCTTTTTCTACCATAAATCACACTGATGTGTTTGGAGAAAGAAGAGAAGCTATCTACCCTGAAGCAAGTATTGATTGTTTCAAGCATCCATGGCACCAGCTGCTCGTAATTCTCTTTCAGCAGCTAAAAGCACTATGAGTGGGAGGCTTAGGCTGAGGCACTTTGAACATGGCTAATATACTGTAAAAAGCAAATGTAGTGATTTCCAGGTTGCTTGACAGTTCTTACAGAAAAGGCAGATCCATGCCACCTGAGAAGTATTAGATGTATTAGAATACGTCTAATCTGTTCACTGACACAGAACAGCTCTTACATCAATACTTACAGCAAAGGGAAATGTGTGGGAAGCTCTGCAGGCTGGAAATCGGGGACTTGCCCTTGCCTTGGTTGAGCACAGGACAGAAGAGCTTCTGTTTCACAGCATCCCACTTGCATTTTCCAGTTGTGCCAAGAGCCCCATGTCCTCACCTCATGCCTTGGGCACAGGAAGGCTCAGACTGACTGTGGATCAGTGGGATGGGGGTGCTGTGGTGAGGAGTCTCAGTTCTTGGCACTTCAGACACCTCTTGCTCTTTCAACAAGAAAAGAACCATGACTAGTTTGTGATCTGATGCTTATTGGCATTATAAAATGGATCTTGGATAGCAATGCTGCACAGAGACAAATGCAATGACCTATTAGAAGGTTTTCACTGCTGTCTCAATCTCCACAAACATTTTTGCCTTTTGAAGCCTGCTGCTGGGCTCAAACATCTACTTACACCAAACAGTAATGAAGTGAATAAACATTTTATAATGTTTAATTGTCCTGGGTTCAGCTTAAACTATGACATTTATTTACCTAAAATTTTTGGATGCTAGAATCCAACAGTTTTCTTTTTAACTGAAAAGAAAAAAAAACAACCCAACCAAAAGGTAAGCTACATGCAAGATTAACAGAAGCTACTGCTAGTATGTAGGAAGCAACTTCTCTGCCTATTCTACTATCCCTTTTAAGATTTATGAGCATTTCAGGTGAAAGTACTCAGAACACTCAGGTCATTATTTATTGTTAAAAGAGAACAGAAAAGTAACAAATAGTGAAAATAATAAATCTTGATGTTAAGGTTCAATGAAGGAGGTACTGTTTCAGGCAGCGTTAGTTACACAACTCCAGAGAGCTCAGTGGCTCTTGACATCCAGCCCAAAATCAGAACTGTGTACCATCATCCCAGGATGAGCCCATCTCAGGCCCACTTCCAGTTATCACACATGATGACTTTCCTAACACAAAAGACCTTACTTGCATGATCTCTGGACAGCTTTGCGCAAATTAGATCTTTAAGGTGGGGGAAAGTATCTACACAGGAAGTCTCCAAGTTTTCAGATTGCTCTTTCTAGTGGACTTTGAGCAGGTTCCTCCTTTGTCACACTTGGCAGTCCCTTTCAATCCACCCCCCCACACCTATTAATGCTGTATTTGCTGCTCCTGTGCATTCAGAGTGACTTTTCTTCTGCGCTTGAGGCTGAACAAAGCAGCTTTCAGCCTCATAAGTAAGCTTTACCATACTTCAGCCCTTAATGAGTGAAGCACTTTTCACTGGAATTTGAGACACTGATTATAGTCAATATGAAGGCACAGAGCAGTTGTAAGAAACATTTGTAAGAGTCCAGGATGCTCTTTTATAAACTTGCATTCTGAAGACAAGCATAAGAGGAAAACTCAGCTACAACACTACTATTACTGTTTTCCTTATTGTTAGAAGAGGGGAAAACAAACAAGTGGGTCTGACATCACTCTAGTATAAATTAAGTTTGGCAGATAATTGCCAATTGTTAAGGCATATTTGCTTGAAAATGTGACTGAAACATGGTCAATATGGTAGAAGTACATGCAAACTCAGAATGGTGCAATGATGCGTGTGTTTCATAGCTAGCACTACAAATAACCTCCTTTACTTGCTTAAATGAAATAGAATTACTCTCCATACATTCTCAAGACATGTAATTTTCTCTCTGGCCTTTGAACGTAGCTATTTCACACCTGTGCTATATTGGTTCACTATTTTTTCAATAGCTGTACCAATGCATTTAATAAATATTTTCTCGAAGCATCTTCCCTGTCATTCCTGATTCTGGGGGGAAAAATGGGCAAAAAATATTTGAACAAACCTGGAGCAAAAGAGAATGTTACATAAAATGTAGCAGATCACTATGTTATCCAATTAATCTACAGAAAGATTATCTCCTACGATTTCATGGAACAGTCAACACAGACATCATTTGGTGTAAAAAAAACTGACATGAAATATTTAATTCCCAATTTGCAGCAATAAACTATGTTTTACTCTAAGAAAATTCAACTTACCATGTTTCTACATGCTCAAACATTCATTTACAAAACGTTTTCCATTCTGTAAACACAGTACCACAGTAAATATGTAATTCTCACTTTTGTTCTGAGAAGCTGGGTACCACCACCACGAGAGCGGCAGTAAGTGACCGAGACGATATAAGCATGGGAAGATTTACCTTCCCACCGGGAATTTCAGTCCGCTGAGCCTCTCCCGCCCCCTCCTCGCCTCTGAGCCCCGACGAGCGCCAGCTGCGGTCACAGCTGGAAGGCCGGGACCAGCTGACAAAGGATGGGACCGCTTCCCTCTCTCCCTCCTTTCTTTTTACATCGACAGCAGCTCGAAAGGTCGGATGAGCCTGAATCACTGCCTGGGAGGGGGCTGAAACCCGGAAGTCTGCACAGACCCAGCCTCTCACCTCTCGCTCACTGGAGCAAGCTCTGACCCGCTGCCTTTTGTCTGGGGCTCCCCCAGAGGACCGCTCCTGGCCACCGCCGCCCCCGCTTCGCCAGGGCCCAGCTAACTCCGCTGTCATCGCGACTGCCGCCGGGCCGGGCTCGTCCCGCTGAATGCCCGGGGTAGCGAGTTGGTTGGAGCCGAGTCGGCGGTGCCTGTACGGACACCCATCCCGAACAGGCACCTGCACCCGCTAACGCACGGTTACCAGTCTGTCACCTGGGTCGTGAGGACACCTCGACAGCGAACGCGAGCGCTCCGGCAGCCCCCGACTAGGAACAGCCCAAAGCGAGGCTACCAAGGCTACTGCAACACAGGAATTGAGTCATTTATTCAAATAAATAAAAATGAACTTTTATGTACAAATATACAAAATCATTACGCACGTCTTACAAAGTGGTCAGAAGTCTTAAAAAACACAGGGGGAAAGGCAGAAGGGGCACTGGGGGGGACGGACACGACGACGCCCACAGCCACCTCCTCTCCTTCCCGGCCCCCTGCTCCTGCCGGGCGGAGGCCGGCGCCTCTCCTTTGTCCCTCAGCCGGGCGGCGGCACCGCCCCGGGGACCAGCTTCGGGCCGTTGCCCCGCTGCCACTCGCCGGGTCGCCGCCGGCGCAGCCGACATCACAAAGGAGACAACAGCTACGGACACCGGATGGCGACCCCGCCTCCGCCCCGGGCCCCGCCGCCCTTCGAGCCGCTCTCCCGGTCCCCCGGAGGGGCTCAGAGGGTGCTCAGGTGCGGCAGCGTCTCCAACCTGTCTGGGCGATCTCGCCCGGCCGCACTCTCCACGCCGCGCAGCCACTCGGTGCATTTCCGCACCAGCCCCTCGTCCACCGCGGCCCCCGCCGCCTCCTCCTCCTCGTACTCCTCGTCGTCGTAGCGGTGCTTCTCGTTGAGCAGCGATATCTTCAGCAGGGCGCGCAAGTCCCCGCTGCCCGCCCGGGCGCCGCGCCGAGCAAGGGTAGGGGTAGCTCTGCCGCCGGGGCCGGACCCGGGCTGCCCCCGCTGCCGCTCCAGGCTGCGGCGCTGCAGCACCCGGACGGCCTCCGGCGGCAGGCTCAGCGAGAACCGCGGCGCCGTCTCTCCCGGTGCCCCGCCGAGGCTCTCGCAGGAGCGGCTGCCCGGCCCCGGCGCACCCGGGCGGCCCCGTGGCTGCGGTGGGGCAGGCGGCGGGCGCACCCCGCGTTCGGCCGGCGGCCTCCGCGGTGGCTGTCGCTGCAGGGAAGAGCAGGGCCAGGAGCTGGAGAGGGGGCCTGCCCGCTCGGGGGGCGCCCCCCGCGCCTTCCTCGCCGCCTTCTCCTCCGCGGGCCGGGGCGCTGCCTTCTTGGGGGCCGCCGTCGCCGCTGTCAGCTTCTTGGGCTGCGCCCGGGCAGCGACGGGGGAAGCGGTGGGCGCCGGCAGGATGGGCGGCAGGGACGCGGTGCGGCCGGGCGCTCCCTCCGGCTCCTCGCCACGGGCCCAGGCGGCGCATCTCCCCGCCGGCGGGCAGGGCCCCGCAGCGCGCCGGGGCTGCAGCCCCATGGCCAGGGGTGGGCGACAAGCCCCAGACGGCGGCGGCGGCAACAGCGCGGGATCCGTCTGCGCTGACTGCCGCTGCCTTTCTCCCCGCGATAACCCGCCCCCCTTCCCTCCCTTCGCCCGCCCTGGGAACACCCTTCCTCGGCGTGGGGTGGGCGGGCGGGACGGCGCCCTCCCGGCGATAGCCCGGTACCGTGGCTCGGCCGCCGCTGCTGCGCTGCTGCCTCTCCCCGCACGTCTCCCACCCAGCCCACAGCGGACCCGAAGGGACGGGAAGGGCCGGCGGGCTCTAAATCCCTCCCAGAGCCCTCAAGCGTTCAAGTGTGAAAGGGCGGGCTTTTCATGTCATGGTAAAGCAGCACCTTCGCGCCATCTTCAAAACATGAATGGTATTGTGAACTCGTCGACCCCTTGCACGACCGTGAGCAAGGAAGGGTAAGCGGAGCGGACGGGAGCGCTGTCCGCTACACGAGTACCTACAGCAGTCTTGCACCACATGGAACTCCAAAACGCGCAAACATTTGGAGAACAAGAAGAGCATAACTGTGTAACGAAGAACCTCATCTAAAGATCCCTCTTCCCAGCCTCAGTGCCTTCTGTGATCGAGAAAAAAAGCACAATGCTCAGCACTTGCGTTGTGCTTATTTGTTGTGTTGGGAACTTTTGTTTTTAAGGAGGAAGACAGTAATTTCCTACCTTTTAAGCTACCCAAAACAAAAACAAAGGTCTGGAAAGGTTACATGGGACAGTAGTAGGTAAGTAAACACATACTTCCTACAAATTCAACATTACTCCCACTTCAAAATTTAGTCTAAAAGATTACAGCGTATTATTTCTACAGATTTTACTTGGGTAGGATGTATGCAATCCGTAAGGGCAGATCTCCCCCCATCTGGTTTGACACTGCCAGAAAAGGGTACCACACAGTGCAGATGCACCAACTGTGAAGTTCTGAAATATTCACACAAAGCAAACAAAGACAGGATGAGAATGAGCAACTGATACCAACAAAACAACAGAGCGTATGCTCTGGCTGCAGATGAAGAAACAATCTTTAAATGCTCCGGAGAGAAAAAACAAGAAAGCACATGATGTAACAGACCTAAGCGCATGTAAAAGTATATGAGCTCATGGAACTTTTGGACCTCAGTTCTTGAACCCGTTCTGTTCATGTAATCTTAAGGTTAGCTGATGAGTGTTAACTTTGTTATTTACCATTGCACATGCGTATCTGAGTAACTAATACCATTCTAACTAAACACAACAGCGAAGCTGATTGTGTAAACAACTGGTGAGTGACAAACAACACCAATGCTGGAGCCCACAACTGCCTGCTCCTGAAGCACCAGCTGATCTCCATGGTGCCAGCTGTGGTCCATGGCAATGACAATATAACATCCGTCACCACCTACATGCATACTGGCTCATCTCCAGTGCAAACTGGAAACAAAAAAGAACCAAGAACTCACCCAAGGGTACACCCAAGGGCTGTGACGGGCAAAGCTGGAGAGGCTGTCTACCACCCCACCGCACAGTACACTAATAGGCCCAAGAGCCTGCTACAGTGCCCAGAATGCCTGAGTTCCCTGTCACCAGCAGGAAGGATTGTTTCCACAAATCTAATAACCAACTTTGTATGTACTCATATACATATCCTACTTTTTATACTTTCATATTTAATTTTCAGCCCTTTATAGTGGATTCCTAAATAAACAGTTTAGGCACCTTCAAAACTAATTTATTTCACAAATTTCATTTATACATTAGTGATAAGTTCTTTTAGCAAACAGTATTTAGGTATGAAAGTAAAAACCCATCATTTATAAGACAGCTTTTAATAAAATCCAACAAGCCTTAAACAGACCTATCACATACTCTCATTAAGCTTTTTCCATAAGGCACGTGTACAGACATTTCAAAGAAGCAGTTAATTATAACTTACAAAGTCTTTACAACATTTATAAAACTCCATCTTTGGAAAAGCACACAATTAACAGTATACAAACATAAATGGTACACTGCAAAGTTTAGACAGAACTGAAAATGAAATCTTTATGCATACTGCCCGGATCTTAGCAGCTTGCCTCCACTGGGGAATAAACTGTTACTGGATGCAGGGTAGCTTTAAGACTATTCTGCACGAAGTATTTAAAATGTGTCATTCTGTTAAAAAAAAAATAAAAATAGATCCTAAAAGCTTCAGGGTAAACACAAACAGTTTGCCCAGTTTATTTTTAAACTCTTTCCAGTAAAAAATATTTAATCCCCCAAATGCAGAAGGCAAGGAACATACTAAATTCTTACTGGGCATTTCATGAATAGAAAAGTAGAGTTTTCAGAGCAAAGTTCACAGAGGAATAAAAGTTGCCTTTTAAAGTGGACAGTGGTTTCTGTTTTTAATTTAAGCTAGGCAGGATGAGAAGCATTTAATCACAGCATCCCTTTAAAAAGAAAAAAAAAAGTCAGTTATTTTTTCTTTTCGTATATATATATATATCAACTACTGCATGTTTAAAAATACTATAGGAACAAAAATCAATAGTTTATCAAATGCAGGATCTTTACAACCATCATTACGTTGAGTACATCTACAGCACCAGCTACAGCCCACTCTGAAGCTTAGGTCTGCCTATATTGTCTAAGCCTTCCACACTGTTTGCAATCAGACACGTGCTAAAATGCAGTGTTCAAAATCGTTCTGCAGCACACCTGAGGGATTCACAGAGGTCAAAGCCCGATTTGGAAAGGCTGACCAGCAAATGCACGGCTGAGGAGTGTGCCAAATCCAGACAAGCAGCAAAGCACAGGTGCGCTCTGAGTATAGGCCACATGGAAGTTAGACCATCATCTTGCAGGAAGAATCAAAACACAGACTGGAGGGTTTGAAGTGCATGTACCAACAGTGCAGGGCAGAGAGCTGACTCAACCTTCAGACTTGAAAGATCTGAAGGGGTCCACTTCTTTAACCAACAATAAATAGTCTTGTGACTACTGAGATCATTCACTCCAGACTCCTTTATTTTTCATTTTCTCAAAAATGTATCAGCTTAAGGAGTGGAATTTGTATTCTCTTGTTAGTAAATTTGAAAAATGAAGACAAATCCTATCATGACTTCTTAAGTCACAGTATGTATGGTTTTTGTTGTTGTTTGTTTAGGGATTTTTTTGCCATGCCAGCAAGAAACAACCCATGACCAAGTAAACTGTAAAGGGTAAACCATTAACAGAGTTAAATCAAGTAATAATAATTTTGTTGGAAAAAACCCCCACGTAATACTGTTCTCTGGCACTTAACATGGTTTAGATCACCATTTCCATAAGAAAGCAGCCTATACAAGAAATTTATGATAGCATTCCACATACGCAAGTAACTTAATCCCTGAAGAAATCACTGTACTACTAAAAGCAGCCTGTGTAAAATTCAGGTTTTTGGATCATAAAATCTAATAGACAAATAAAACCAAAGATATTAAGTGATATGTATAACCTAATGTTTTTCTGCCCAGAACTTAAAGTACTGTTGATAGGGAAGAGAAGCCCAGTGGGACTGTCATATGGCCAAAGGAACTATGAGAATTCAGAATATCACTTTTGATTGGGGTAGCTTGGAATGTCAGAAATAGCAAGATGTCAATTTGAAGCCTGAGTTCAATTAGCACATTCAATCCATTGTAATTGTCAATTACTGTCTTTAAAACAGTGTGTATATACATACATATATATATATATGGCTTAATCCTCCCTAGATCAACTGAAGCTTAAAAAACAGTATGTAGTACAGATTTTTCAGCAAAGTTACAAAAACACTACAGGAAGATGAAAGGGATAGACAATACTTTGTTCTTTCCCACCCCTCACTTCTACTACAGAAAGCCTCACCAAATAGTATACAGACATGGAAGCACTTAATTTTTTTTACAAACACACTGCCAAGAGACCAACCTGCATTTCACATGAAACATCATATTAAAAATATGATTCTTACATTTGTTTACTTGCAAGTGGTTTCACTGTGTGTTGGGCTCTCATTCCCTTTTTGTATACACAAGAGTTAAGAGACAGAGAAGCTTCCCAAAATGAAAATTAACGGGGTTGCTTTGCCTCTCCTAAGAATGATGGAGGAATTCAGAAGTAGACTTAACATCTGAAACTATGCTTGCTTGTATGCTTTAACTAAGACCTTAGATCCATACGCTGTCTTTTAATTTTAGTACTGGAAAAGTCACTATTGTATCAATGTATTTCTAAATCACCGGAGAATGTGGAAAAAAAAGTGCCTCATTTTCAGTGATGAAAGCTAGAATGAAATTTAACAAAGAGAATTCCTGTGCCCTTTGCTTGTATTTAAAGCTTATACCAAGCATTACTTTGAGTTCAGCTTTGTCATTTTCTAAAAAGGAAAGGGAGGAGGTTATGTTTTTTCACATGCTGAATTGAAGGACTTTTCCCCCCCCACTAGCTTTATCATGCAGACTCACCTTGCAAAAGGAATATACGACAGACTATACCTGGGGGAAAAAAAAAAGAAAGGAAAAAAGTGTATTTGACAAGAGTATTCGTGCCTCTCCTATAACACAGTTATTTCACTGTAGTCCAGCATTAATAGAATCACAGAATGGCTTGAGCTGGAAGGAACCTTAAAGATCATCTAGTTCCAACCCGCCCTACCAACAAAAGCAACCTGTTGTAACAAAACCTTAAACAAGGCTATATACTCAATGTAATGCTTACCTGAGAAAAGATGACACATTTGGACAAGAACTAAATGTACTGCAGAGGATTTTCTGGTTTACTTTTTTTTTTTTAATATAATTCATAATTTCTATTGTACATAAACTTCAAAAAGCAGATTTACTATGACCAGATTCAAAAGGACTGGAAATTCTGGGAAAACAATATTCTTCAGGCTGACAGAGACAACTTTTTCCAGATTAAAAGACAATATAAATTACTATGCAAATATAAATCTTATTGTGTTATTTACATAACTCTAAATACAGATATATGCTGTAATATGAATAATTACAGCTACAGATACATGCTGTAATTGTGACACTCAAATAGCTGATAATTCCATTATCCTCTAAAACCTGATTCTTACAAGCCTCCAAGCTAATGTTTTGTTCTCATGCCCAGCCTGATTAAGCTCTAGGACACCTCGCAAATGCGAAGCCGTAAACATGAAAAATGTAGACATGTAAACATGTAAAATGTAGTTTGAGTTAGCAGTCTTCCCTCTATCCAGTATTAAGCATTGAC